ACGATCAAATCGCGTGAACTCTGTCTTGGGCCTAAGAGGTAGTAACGGGAAATAGCTGGATAGGATTTGGCATCCAGCGCAGTGGTACACGCTCGATAGTGTAATATGCTCGCGAGCTTGTTGAAGGTCATGACCTGGAACAGTTCTCTTGACACTGATCGCATTGGATCAAAGCCGAGTTTGATATGCGAGATCTCGCCGCATGTGGTTGTGCTCACTTTAACTGCAAACGCTCTTCGCTTGTCGCTGGCGTCTCCTCACTGGGTGCGCTCAGTTCGTTCGCAAATCAGGGTACGCACGATAGCGGGATGTTACGAAGCTAACAGGGATAAGCAGTGCGAAAAAAACATTGTCGTCTAAATAACTCATTTCAACTATTCCATTGTTCTCATCCAGTGGAAAGCATCTCATTGTTTAAGAAGTAATGGGTTTGTGGCACCACTGACTGGCGTATCTTCAGTTTACGGTCTAGATTTTCACTTGAACTATCAACATTCTTTTCCAATCCTTTTAAATAGTTATCGTCAAGTATTTAGTGCGTTAGCGAGTCGTAAATTAGCACGAGTAAAGCAAGCTACTAGTGTTTTCGTTTTGCATTCAATAGTTGTAAGTAATATTGTAAAAAAAAGAATGAGATTGTGACTAATCTAACTAACCTTACTAAAGTCTTTTGGACCACAACCATCCAAGAATGAGTATTTTTAGCTCCAATGCATTTTACCTTGTACGACTACACGTTTTCAATCATGATTATTGCAAGGCCCTAATTCGTTGCTTTCACCAATAGATCTCAATATGATATGAAGAACGAAACTTGGCATTAAAAACATTTGTAATACCGAGTTCTTAAACGGAATCTTAGCTGCTTTAGCTGCTTTGTGGTCTATTGAAACTAATCACATAGCTGTCCTTTCCTGCGTAAAGGCACTCTAATAGTTTATCGTACAGCAAAAAGAACAACAATGATTAGCATAGCACAAAATCCCATCGCGGTTTTCTTGGAAAATGCTTTTACTTTGCCATTATCTTCTTCCATTGTCGACTCTATTGCCAATTCCACTTCTTCCATGAATATGGTGTTGACCATTGTTGGACTCCAACCAGAGTTCAGGTTTTCCTCCTGACAGAGCGCTTGCATGAAATGGATGTCAATACCGCAGGAATAAATCTGCGTGACTGGATAGAAGGGCTTAGATTGATTTCAGAGTCGGAATTAGTAAATATATGAAACATGGAGACGTAGATTCTCAACAGGATAAGGCTGCTCTTCTTTTTTTATGCTTTATATACCTGGTTTACAGGCCCGCCCCGTAAACAAACGAGAGCCACAGCTCGTAGACATAGTCTAAGCCAGCATTAGACCCAACTTGTACGATTTGTGAAGCTGTTCTGCTCGCTTCGGGGAACGAGCGAAACTAAAGCAATCACGAAGTTGTACAGGTTTTATGAAGTGCACCGAACAAGAATCTATTCTTGTTTTTTTAGCCGTCACCATGCATTTGACTCTGTACTTTTTCGCAAAGAACTATAGTCAAAGTTGGATACGTTTATGCAAATATGGAAGCTTAAGTGAAGTGGACATGAATTTTGATGTGATTTCGGGAAAGATTGATATGAAGCTTGTTTTACTTCGGAGAATATGAATAAGATCTTGACCACGCACCCTCCTATAAAAAAGAAATATCTCAGCGAAACACCGGAGTATTGAAGAGTATGAAAAAAACACACTCACTATGTTATTACCTCAATACTACATGTAAATTTGAAATAAATCAAATTCCTTATGGCATTCATTATTATTGTTAGGTTATTCTTGCACATTCTTATAAGTTTCATTACACCATGTGCGTTCAACCAATATTGCAAAACACCTCGCTTGTGGAGTTGAAGTCACTTGCTAATAGAGCTTATGAAATCTCAGACGAAACTTGCCATCGCCTTTGCTTGACAAATAATCTCCTACATGGACTTTTTCCTGCAAACTTCATTCCGATAACAAGATATTGCGCTCTTTCGCAATTAGATCTAGAGGATTACGAGATCTCTCAGCTAGTTAGCTGAAAAATAATTGTGCCGCATAGAAAATTATTGCAAATATGTTGCATTTCTGACAGGAATAGGCAAACTTTCATGTACAGGAA